CGCACGACCAGCTTGCAATGGACTTTCAGTGAGCCATCTGTCGCAGACAACGATCAGCAGGAAGGGTAACTGTGAGGGATGGATGATGACATACGTATTATTAAGCAGCGTACTTATCCTACGCAACAACTCTATAGTAATAAGATCATCTTTACCACAACCAGCTTAATTCCATAACAGTAACTGCAGACCGGATGGGAGCTCATAGCTCTTTACGACAGACAACACAGACGGGAAGAATAGTGACCATAAAATTATCACCAACAAAAGGGCATTGAGGAAATCTACTCTGGCGCTTGGAGAAAAACGCTATCTGGCCCCGAGTCGCTCTCAGTCACTCGTTCCCGGAGTGTCTGCAACGCTGAAACAGGTGCCTACTTTGGATCTACCTCTGGACTAAGATAGCAATGCATTTAGGCTTAATAACCAGCAAGGGTGTTTGTGGTTCGGAGCCACGAGGAAATTGAGCAACGGCAAGCTCATGCGACAATAGAGATCACGGACGGATCCCAGACACATCTACTTTCCAGCACTGTTTCATTCGAGTAGTCTACGAAAATCAACGGATCAAGCACTCGTAAAGATAGTTAACTATGATCAAGGCTACTATCAGCCACTAGTCCCTCAATCTCCAGCCTCCACTGGTCCGCTTCTGGAAGAACCCTTGGGGATCATACGCTTTACAGGTCTTCAGAGCAAGCGCCTTGGACTCGGGGCTAAGACGACCCCAGTAGTCCTGGCGGTAGTATGCGTCATTCATAAACAATGGCCGATGCACGTCTGGAAGAAGGCCCTGGTCGACGTTCTTGTGGACCAGGTGATCCAGTCCTTGGTAAAGTTCAATGGTGGCTGCGTCAATCTTGCCGTCGTCGACGGCTAGACCGTAGGAGAAGTCAAGCTCAAGGATAATATACGGTTGATCCGAGGGAATATCGAGGAGGTCCTGGGAGGTTGTGAGTGATGTGATCCCGTTTCTCATTTTCGTAGGGAAGGGAAGTCTTACTCCTCCATGGTCCTTGGCCTTCTGGGAGAACGTCGTGGGCATGGGCTGGAAGGCAATTGAGCCTAGGACACCGGCCACTTCGAGGACGGACTCAGTCACGTTGCGGAAATGGTCATAGTACTCCTGGAGTGGGGCCATGCCCACGGTTCTGTTGGGAAGAGGCGTGGTCTCGGTGGCGATGTTGTAGCGTTGCCCCCTAACAGCTAGTTAGACAGCGATCCAATGCCCGAGGCTTGCTCGTCTTACTTGAGAATAAAAAAGTCGTTGTGCTTGAGAAGGTCGTAGTAGCTGTCAAAAGTCTTGGCCGTTGAGGTGTGTTCAATCGCAGTGAACTCGTCGAAGACTCCAGAGGGGGGCTCGGGGCCGTCGTAGAAGAGGAACATAATACAGAGGTCCAGCAAGAGACCGCGCTCGAATGTCACGATAATCGCGGCCTTGTCATCGGGATACTCATCGGTGAAATTGCGCACCGCCGTAAGAATCTCGGGGGCTTTGTCGGCCGTGAAAAGATAGTTGCCACCCCAGACCTTGTGGTCTTGAGGATGCGTCTGTAGGGTGTATGCAGTGACGACTCCGAAGTTATTCCCGCCCCCCTTTAAGCTTTTGAAGAGGTCTGCCGAGTATTAGCGTCTCGACGATTACCTTGGCATGATATCAGTCACCTGGGTTTTCATTTTCAGATGCGTGGACAATGGTCCCATTGGCCAGGACAACTTCGTAGTCCAAGACATTGTTCGCAGCCCAGCCATATTGGGTACTCAGAAAACTCATACCACCTACACAGTATCAGAGGTGAGCTCGACGCCGATTCCTGAACCACATACCGCCGAGCATATATCCACCAACTCCAACTCCTCCCATTCGTCCTCCAACGATAGTCCGACCAGTTCCTGCGAGGCCTTTCTGGGCCTCTTCCCATGAAAGCCCAGGACCGACAATAGCAGTGTGATCCTCGGGGTTATAGTCAACCTGATCCAAATTCTTAGTCGAAATCAGCAATCCATCTTGGATACTCGCAAATCCATTGTTGGGGTTATGTCCTCCACTCTTGATGGCACTGCTTCGGGTTAGTCGATATCATTGCTGATGGGAAAGAGAGAACAAACAAGAGAGTATCCACATTGTGCAAGTTCTTGACAACCTGGGCCATCTCCGCTGCACTGGATGGAGCTGCAATGCACGTTGGCTTGAGATCGCCGCATGCCGTGGACCAATACTCGGTCAGATCATAATTGTAAACCAATGAGATACGATTTTCAATGTCAATGCCACCGGCCTCGAGTGTCGCGCAGATGTCTGCCATTGCCTGTGGGACAAGAGCCAGTGACAGTGCCAGAGCGCGCCATCCGTTGCTGGAGACCATGTTATCAACCGAAAGAAGAGAAAGATGTCTATTTACTAATGCCACGATCGATTAAGGACAGGAATTTGGCCTCACGAAGGGACTGGAAATGGGCCAAGAGTCGGAAGATATGCCCTGACCGATGTAAATCCTCGAGATCAGTTCTAACGCGCGGGCCCGTAGACTCCTTTAACATAGCCTTTCGATAGGTTCGGATTAGGAAACTCCATTATCGGAGGATATTCTTCAAGCCATTGATCGCACTCTTCTTGGATAGTGGGTCCGGCAGGATCGGAAGCCATGCCACCAGACCTAAGAGAAACATCCCTTGCAGACGCACTGTTCAGGGACTCCATTGCATACAGACCAGGGTCGGTATACACAATTCTCGATGGGGCAGGTACTCCTGCTGATCGACTCCAGCAGAGCTCACAGATCGAACACTTGTTTGGGGCGAGTTTGTGATCATGCTCGGTGATACATTTGGCTCGAAAATGGATACTGCGCACTCTGCAGATGGAGTGAGTGAAGTACACGGCATCAGACCGGGAAAAAAACAAAATCTCGAATGCTCTATGCATGCCCATGTTGACAGGTTGTCCGAATTCTCAGCCCCAGTGATCTACCGATCACTTGATTTTCGTGTGCCCAGGCAATCGCTAATTCTGGACGAACGGGGCTTGGCTAGTTTGAAGTTATGAGTACCAACCCAATAAGGTGCAGATAGGACAAAGTACAAAGGAATCCGTCCGGAGTACATAGTTGACGTTCACAGAAATCAAGAAAGCTAGTCCAACCAAGTGAGACAAAATAAAAGAGATCAGCAAGTGGAAGTTCTCCCGGCTTGAACCGGAAAACTTGGAGAATTGCCCCTGACATGAGATCCCGAGAAATCCTGATGCTGTACGAAGTACGGAGTACTCCATACAGGTCTCGCTCAAAACCAATTGGGAATTGATACCCGCGATCCGTCTAATGTTTTTGGTGGGCTTTTCGTGTGGGTGTCAACAATCTTATTTGATTCAGAGGGATGCTTCGCTCCGGGAGCTGATGTGAATCCATTCCAACCCGCCACCGAAAGTCAGGAATACACGATGACGAATCCGTTTCCCGCAAATTACGACCATCAATCCTTTCGGCTAGACGGAGGATTTTACAAATCGCGGGAGTTTAGATCGACACCCTCAAGAAATGGTCTGAGAGCAGGAAAAGGAGGTGTCAGGGCCAGTGGTGAATATTGCTGGGAATAACCCATTTTCAGAAACAAACGCTTTTGAAGGTTGATGTTTCTTAGGATGACCATACCTGGTATCACTTGAAGAGACCATGCATCAACCAAGGATCAAATAGAAGATCTTTTGCAGAGGCTCTTTCTTCCGGTAGCCAACATAACATTCGTCGGAGAAAACGCAGGAAGTCGTCCTTTTCATCACCTGTGAGCCTTTCCTCTAATCTGTGAAGATTGTCATCCGAGATTGGAGCGGTACCTTTCCAATTACCTGATAGGGATGTCAACAATAGTCAGTAGTCAAATTACAGGAAAAGAGGCCCAGACGAACCATGTTTATCCCATAATAAGAAGCTCCGTTCGCTCCGAAGAAGGAACTCAACGGGTGGGCTTCCTAGGGCCGCCTGCATTTCGGCAAGATGATCTCCATCATCCAATTCGCGTGCGGGATTCCGAGCCCCGAAAAGGTGGCGACGCTCAAACAGATCCCAAATCTTAGGACGATTAGTGTCAACACGGGTTCAAGTAAACTTCAAGAAAGATTTGGAAAGTCATCTTGCCACCATCCCAACATTCCAGATATCGACCCTGCTATCCCATCTCATGTTTAAGATAACTTCCGGGGCCCGATAGATATCTGGCATAATTTCGCCCTGTTGCTGGTCGGTGCCTAGTCGAGCCTCACCTAAATCACAGAGAACGGGCGTCCCAGAAGAGATGGGGAGTGAACGTGAGACATAAATGGTACGAGCATCGAGGATCTTTCGCGGCACAGACGCTTCAAATTCGGCCTGTTTGAATTTGGATCGGATCGAGTCGTCTTTAGTGCCAAGGAGAATATTGTTTGGTTGGAGATCTATCCATGTCATTAGTCACTAACCCCTAATCTTTAGTACCGTTATTGGGCATTATTGCGCAAAATGATACCTACCAGTATGTATAACTCGTGCCTCCATGTGAAGGAAGTCTAGAACTGCAAGGATATTGCGTATCGTAGTTCTTACCATAGTACTACTCACCACCCCATCCGGGAGTAACCGGGTGAGCTGGCCGAGGCTGATACCAAGCGGTAGATATACTAGACAACTGTGACTACTAAGTCCGTTGGGACTCTGGGCCTGAAAAATCTCAATCAATGGTCGCAGGCACGGCTGACCCGCATGACTGGATTGTATCGTTTGTAGGTGGTTATAAATCTCGACCACTCGAGTCACTGTTTTTGAAGCCATGTAAATCTTCAATGCTATGTAACGGTGGTTTGTAGCTAGTTAGCTTAAGTCTATAACGAAATGGTTGCTCTTACAGTAAGTCACGGCAGAGCCACACTGTCGCGCTAGATCCATGGCCTAACTTGCCCACCACTTGGTATAGGTGATTGAAAACCTCACCGATATGCACAGGGTAAAATGCTTTGGGTTTGTAGTTTGGAATTGACTCCTCTTCAAATTTTAAAGAAGGATCGATCGCATCCCACCCTGAAGAAGGGAAGACGCGCGGTTCCGAGGGAGAGCGAAGATCAGCCATACATAGTACGCTCGCTTAGGCCGATTCGTGAAGGGGCAGCTTTTCTCAGCTAAAATGACAATACTGAGTTAGGACACACTGTTAGGCTGTTAAGCAATTGTCGTTTCAACATTTTGCGTGGCTGAACGGGAAAGCAAGGGCGATCAAGTGGTTTTGAATGTAGATCGGAGTAACTGTGCAGCCGAAGTTTGTCACATGTTCACGTTTCTGCTCTCAATATCTCAAGATCAGAGGCTTTGAATCTTATGTCAACGCCAAATGCTGCGATACAGGATATGTCTTTGGGCTGTGAAACTAGATGCAAAGCGCCTACGTAGCAGGAGGCTCACCGAGCGCTATTGGCGATGTTTCCCCGGTTGTTCGCATGAGACAGATCACTGAGCATAATCTAGAAAGTCCATATCGTGGACTTGATATTCTGTCAACACAAAGCAAATGCCCGTGTTCTTCCTTAAGGGGGATCACTCAGTCGGGGTGATCATCCTTCTTGCTACACTTCTTTCGGCCCATGCCCTTAGAAAGCTTCTTGATTGGCAAGAGGCGAAAATCAGTCCTACTGAATGAACGTCCCTTTGTGCTCAATTTACCGGATGGTGTAATAGACAAACTGCGTCAAAAATGTAAAAAATACACCTCTATCGAAATTGCAAAGCTCGCCAATTGACTTGAAATGGAGCAACACAAGCTACGAGTTTGAGCAATGATAATAAAATACGAGTCTGTTTAACCTTAAATGTCTAGAGATGATTGAGATCGCTCTATTTCAATTCCACTGTTCAGCTTTTTTTGTTTTGTCAAGGGAGAACAATATCAGAAAGATGTTTGAAGGCGAAAAAGCTGGAACAATCAGCATATATTACAGAAGAACAATTTCTGGAGCTGGGAACAAAAAAACTCTCGAAGGATAAGTTAGAACTTGTCCAGTCGGTAGCCTTCTCTCCAGATGATGGCCTCACGGTCAAATGATGTAACCACCAAGATCTCGATGGAAATCTCGGAAAGCAAACTGCTCACGAACTTGAAGCATGTGAAATTATTTGTAAAAATCCTCATCCTAACATTGCGGCCTATAACGGCTTTAAGGAGAATCATAGTCGAGTCTTTGGGTTATGCTTCAAGCACAGTTCTCCCCTTGTGAACATTCCATGTTCTATACTTCTATGCTGCGATGTGATTGGGCGAAATTATCTCCGAAATCACGGGACAGTCTTCCATACCGCCCTTGGCGGTATGGCAACTGCTGGCAGAATCTACTCTGTTTTCGAACCAACAGCGCATTCTTTCTGCTCAAGCGCTGGCAATGGCACTTACAAGAATAAGGGCTTTGCAGAAGCGGGCTGGTGCAATTTTTTCACCTGTCCACTGTAAATGGCGACAGAACCGCGCAGGATGTTCGTCAACTTTGTCCGCAGCTCACTTTCCGGTGTTGTCTGGGGGGCGACGCTTTTTGACTACCACGAGAACATTGGAGTCAGCTGGAGCTGTCCGAGCCGACAGTGAGGTATGTTGCAAGGGAAAACAGGCTTCAATTTCAGCTAACATTTGTTTTATCTCAGCAGAAAACTTCCAAGCAAGATGAGCCCCCAAGAGTTCCCATCGATGGCAATATCCTCCTTCGGTCCCAATTTGAATTGCATGGAGACATTCGAACGTATCTGCGGAAATGGCAGGATACAAATCCTAACAATATGGACCCAGTACGCCGATCCGACTCCAAGAACCGGCCATTGGAATTACCAGGTAAATCGATTGGCACAATGCCCAACGGTCGCGACACGATCGATGCTTGGGGTGACCCGAACAGGTACCAAGAGGCTATGGATAAAGATGAATTCGAAGGTGAACATCTCGAGCAGGGTGACTTGATCGCCCGGTTGAACGCAGATGGAGTGTTCAATTATGGAATCTACGTGCGGTCTGTTCACAAACAGAAGCAGTTCTACAATGGCAATGGAAACTGGCGCATTTGCTCCAACGCGGAGCTCGACTACGTTATCAAAGGATTTGCACCTACTGAACTTGTTGAGCCTCTCACGCCATGGTTCCCGGATGGCGAGGCTGTCGCAAGCCAAGACATTCAGCTGACCCCCGAGGGAGGTCTTCCGAGGCCGCTTGGTGCTCCTCTTCTGAGGATGATGGGTAATTTCAAGAGTCACATCTTGAAATTCTATAGAGAAAACTCCCAGATACTGGATAATCTTCATGATACGGTGGCAGACGATACCGAAGTTCTCCACTTGAGCCTTGAAAACTTGACAACAACTGCACTTGGCATTGACGAATCTGAACTGACCAGCGTCAACTTGTTTGCTGTTCATCAAGCTGTTCGCCGGCACCCTTTCCTCATAGAAAAAGATGGTAGCTCCTTGTTCAGTCGGATGTATATTGTGCAGCCAAAACGGATCGCCAACATTGTCAAACAAGTCATTGACTGGACTCATGAACACCAAGAACAATGTGTTCGAGCCACAATGCGCAAAGATACCCCAGGGTTTAAAGACCACCCAATGCACCGATTTATCACTAAAGCACAGCGGTTGATTCGCCTTAGCAGAAGGCTCCGCTCTCCGACTATTATGTCCAGCGTGGGTCCATCCTCTAACAGGTATTCGCCTGGTCAGGATGGAAACCCATTGGTATTCCGTGAACTCTCCACCGAGAAGTTCAGTGCAGATGACCAAATGATCATTGAATATTTGCAGCTGTACTCGGTTCCTGCCATTGTCATGCCGTCAGGCACCTTGAGATCCACAGCAACACATATCATGCGTGCCACGGGTATGTACAATACTCTTGGTCTGAGTGAGGCTTCAACACGTCTTTTATTGCAAGAGATCGGCATCATAGCGCCTTGGGAGAACCTTCTACCTCTTGACCAGTATCTGATGCTTCCTGGGCATGGCATTTCCCTCGCAAAGGACATGGAGTTGGAAGAGATTGATGAATCTTGCTCTAAACTTACTGCTGATCAGCTGCAGGATTCTATGCGACACCTGAGAAAAGATTGGGGAGATATGCCAGTCTACTGTGTGGACGATGTGACGGCGCAAGAAATTGATGACGGCATATCGCTGGAGCCCATCCCAGGATCTCGTAATACATTCTGGGTGCATGTCCACGTCGCGAACCCAACAGCCTTCATTAAGCATGACAACCCCATCATCCAGTATGCAGCCTCACGACTCTTCACCACCTACATCCCGGAACGCACTTATCCCATGCTTCCCAAAGCTCTCACGGAGCCCCACTTCAGTTTGGCAGCTGGTCGGCCAGTACTCACGTTTAGTGCGAAGATGAATCTTCGAGGGGAGATTTTGGATAGTGAGATCAAAAACGGGACAATTCACAATGTCATCAATCTCACTCACAAAACACTGCGCGACTTTTTTGACCCCGATTCCGAAGAACAGTTGGAATCCTTCACCGTAGGAGGCAACTTCACCGAACCACCAATGCCACACGGCAAAAGAATCCAAGAAAGCCTGCGGCCCGAGGATAAAGATCGATTCCACATCATGCGTCAACTTATGCTCGCGTTCCGCCAAACCCGCAGACGGAATGGCGCCATGGACCTCACCCCTCTTAGCCCAGAGCTTTCGGTCTCAGTCCAGTCTGGCGATGCCCCGATGCCGCCATACGATTTACAATCCATAACTGGACGCCACTATCTCGGTGACCCAGTCATCCGGCTCAATGTGCACTCACATAATCCATACGACGTTCGTGATCAATCGCGGGACAATTTGATCTCCCTGATCATGAATTTAGCCGGGCACGTCTCTGGGCAGTTCTGTGCCGCACGCAATATCCCCGTTGTCTACGACGGCACCTGGTACGACCCGGAGTACGGACGCGTAACCAACAAAAACTTGGCCCATTTCGGCGGTGAGGGCTTCTATGAGCTCAGCGCACCGTTGGCCTACTCTTCCTCAACCCCAACCAAGCACGAAACCCTTGGCTTGGATACGTACGTCAAGAGCACCAGTCCGCTGCGCAGATATACAGATGTTATTGCGCATTACCAGATTGAGGCAACACTGCGGTTCGAGCATGAACACGGCCGTCAGTTTGACGCTCTTGTTGATAGTCCTGATCCTGCAGAATTCGATCTGGTTGAGACGGATCCAACAGCGGCAGATCCAGCAGAGGCAGCCACTGAAATCACCACCAATGACACATACACCCCTCCCACCTCTCCCCTCCCCTTCTCCAAATCCGACATTGACGCCCACCTCATCTACTCCCAGCCCCTGCGCACACGTCTCAGAAATCTTGACAGATACTCCAGACAGCACTGGGCCTGTATGCTCCTCTTCCGTGCATTCTATTTCTCTGAGTGCAATCTCCCCGTCACCTTCCCGTGTCTGCTACGCACCCCACGCACCAAGCCTAGACATCTGGACGAGGAGTATTCCGGCGTCATCACCAGTCTTGGCGTGAACTGCTCGGTCACCATCCCCCAGGATTTCCCAGATAAAGATAAGCTGGATATCTTCTGCATGGTTGAAGCCCATATCACTGCTATCGATATGGCGACTCTACAGGTGACTATGGAGGCGACTGGGTTTGTGAAGCCATTTGAGAGGAAGGGTGAATGGGCTTGAGATTGAGTAACTCCTTGTACAATACTGTATTATCAACATCGCCAATCATCAAATCATTGAAGGATTTTTCGCCTAGGAGAACATCCCTATGAAGCGTTCGCAGACATTCTGAGATCAAGGGTCTAACACCCCGGCACCCCGTAGATTATCCTCCAAGGTCGTCACCCCATTTTGCTTCTCCTGCATAGAGGCATCCTTTTTCGGCAGGTAAGTATACAAAACTTCGAATACCAGAGCCATCAATGTCGCGAAGCTGCCATGCAATTAGCCCATGGACTCAATGTACTCAGAATAATGTCGCTTACAATGCAATGAATCCGAATGCCTCGGCCGTATACTTCCGGCTACACACCTCCTCTCCGTTCCAGAGGTGGACGTTGCAGCTGACGTTGTTAAAATTCAGAGCCAGGAAGATGAATGACGTGAGCCAGCTAGATGAGCGATGAGCATTGACTACCATTGACGTATTGTTATACTTACAGGTAAGATAGTGCTGCATCAGCCACCAGTAGAGGGAGAACGTGCCATCTGCGACGTCTGTTGACACAGCTGGTGCTTAGTGCTGTGCCGTAGACAATTGGAGTCAGGACCGCCTGTAAGGATTTAGAATTTCTACACGTTGAGAGATTAAGATCTGGCAAGAGACATGTACCACCACCAAGGAGAAAATCACTGTAAGGGTTTTAGTGTCGCGGACTGCCCAGGCTGTGATGGCGAGGACGATCAATGAACTGATGCATTGGATGATATGGGTGATGATTGAGATTGAACCACAGGGGTGTTTGAAGAAGCCCATGTTGCATGAGATTTGAATTCATCGATTTCTTGCAACCAGCATTTGACTTATTCGAGGTTCTCTTCCAAGGAGTTGTGGGGTTTTCTTTCGTTTCCCCCCAAATGGATGAGATCACCACATGTGGCCAAAGTCCATGACTGGTCTTTTATTGGCAACAGCAATTCTCACGTCCCATGGGTATTTATGGATTAATAATTATAAACTAGACTTGGCCTAGAAGTCGATTGGACGTTCCTCCACACCTGGCCGAGCATACTTTTCACCCTGCGGAACATGTCTCTTGGTACGAACAGATGGCAGGAGATCAATGACAAACGAAAAAACAAAGAATGCGAATATAAGGGCGGCAACTGCGTGGGTTAGCTTTCCTCTCGCACAGTCACCCAGGGTTGGAACGTACCCCATTCACAGACGGCTGCGGCGTTCTTTTTATTTCCAGCTTTCACACATACGGCAAATGTAATCCCGACCGCGAGTTCGCAGACGACGAAAAGAGCTTTAATGGCGAAGCTGACTATCAAGATCCGGGCTTGTGGATGGTAGAATCGACCGATCTGGATGTATTCCAGACACACCAGGAGGGCGCAGACCACATAGCTCGCTATGAACATCCCCAAAAACCCGTCGTGGAGGTTATGGTGATGCTTGGTGTCGAAGATGGACAGAAGAATGAGACCTAAAGCCCCAGTGATCGAGAAAAAGATCGATCCAACCGCACAAGTCTTGTCGAACCTCCCTTTGTTTCGGGCTAGTTGCCCGGCATGGCGAAGCCAACGCTCAGAGAGGAGACCGAGATCCATGAATACGACGGTTACTACACTGCCTGTGATGAACAGCGGTTTGAGTCCCTCGGCTCCGATATGGGAAATGTAACTGGTTGTTCCCTTGATTCAGTCTATGTTGGCCGATGGCAGATCAGTTCAGACTCACGGAATGGTGAGCCCATTGCTCATGGTGGAATATATTGGCTTTCCATCCGCCGCCCAGGTGGACAGCATGGCTACTAGTGTGGCTCCAAGACTGTCAGTCAAGCAAGCCCCCATCCCTCGTGTGTTGACCCTCACCTATCCACATGCACCCGGATATCACGGGGAAGACCCAGAACGAGAGAATCCACATGGTGGCTTTGTTGTGCGACCAGTGGGGTCGGATTCTTCAGACCAAAAGAACGTGTTGGTTGGGAGAGGCTTGTCTTTATGATTGGTTGCCAGGGGGGGAGACTCCTTTCAACGTGTTCAATCTAAATATCGCTCCAAATCATGAATGTGAAAAGCCAGGCGTTGCAAACAAGGGAGAAATGGCTGGTCTACCACGCCTGGCAGCAAACCGAGTAATGCAACCCCACAGATCTGAATTACCGAATTCAGATATTCCATGTAACTTCATCGCAGACAGCTTCCATCTCGGACGCACCCCGAACCGGATAAACCGGATGCTGACATCAGCACTTCGTTGGCCTCGGGGAGTTTGTTTCAACCCCATTTTCCACTGACCGGAGGGCGGTCGCGTGATCAAGGTGCAGAACTTGGAAGAAATCTATCTCTTCTAGATGATTTCCAACTGAGAAGTCTTGTGTACATGTGATGATGAGAATTTTGGTCATCGCCGCATGAGCTAGCCCGTCAATTTCCATGGCGGCGGCAAGTGCACTCCTGAACTAGAGGGTGATGTGATACTTGCATCGGGAAACCGAACCCTCTGAAGGGTACGGACTCAAGTCGAGATTTATGTTGAGTCTAGTTGCTTGTTCAGTGAAGAAGTCCTTGGGCTTGGCGTCGGGACATGGTGCTTCTTGAAAGACCCTGCGACGAGAAGCGCTGAAAATGCGTCCAGGGAATTGCGGAGTTCAACGGGGATAAGTGACCTAGAAGAGAGAGGGTTGAGCTGTCTTTAGCTTTGTACTGTACTGATTGGAGCTTCCAGTGCTGATGATCTCGCTTGGAGCCTGTCTCGATGCGGACCCGATTCAAGTTTTGGCGGGAATGCCAACTCCACCGTTCGTCGGTCGAAAATAGAGTAGCCTTATAGCCTTGTACGACCGAAATTGGGTAACCAAGTCCAAGGCCTCCTATTGGTCTTACCAATGATTGCGGCTCTTCAAATCGGTCTTCGGAACTTGTTCTTCACAGGGCCTAGTGCCAAGGCACCAAGTGAGTCCAAAGGACCATGCAACATGATTCAGATTGTACGACTGTTACAAAACAAAAAAAAAGAGCTGGGGATGTGTACACTTCCCTCTTTGCCTGTCACTGTCTTGGTTGAAGTGAAGAGAGCATGTATCTCAGTCATGTGATTGCGAAGTATATCTTTTGGCTTCGATGACGTAGACCCCAACAACTGTCTGCGGTGACTGCAGAACGAAAGACATGCAGTGTAGATTTGTTTTCGAGTGCAAGTTATTTAGTAATTGCACTGATCTGAAGTAATCAGTCATGTTCATTTCAACTTCAATGCCCTACCACAAGTCCCGAGTACAACGTTGCGTACAACAAAGCTGAGAAAACGGTGTAAGAAGATTAATTTTAGCCACCAAGATCTCATTCCAGTATATGCTGGTTGGCTATGGAATGAACTAAGACGTAGTCAGTACAACTTCCAGATGTACATAGTTGGCACATGTCTCTTGGCAGGGCTTGAGCCATGACGCAATTGTTTTGGATTTTGATCGACGTAGATCAAGGATGATGGTCAGGTTTCAATGGTTTCGATGGTTTCTAACTTAGCTTCTTTTATGACCATACCCTGTTCTAAGTGGCTGACTCTGTGGATTGTAAATCGCAGATCGTGGCACCTAAAAGGCGTATGCTATACTTCGTGTTTGTACACCATCGGGTGGAATACGCGAACGTCATGAATGTCAATGTTTGCTGGAGTCCTGTCAAAGGACAAAGGAGGTATAAATACCCCTCTTCCCCCTGGGGAAATCAATCTTTATCTTTCCTCCACATCCCACACTTACTTGATATCAACTTCACCTTTCATCAAACCCACCAAGACCAAGACCAACATGCAGTTTGTACGCAAGGCCGAAGAGGCCTTGACTGGCAAGAAGACTGAGTCGCACGAGTCGACCAAGTCCTCCAACCATGGACCTCACTCGTCCAACTTGGCTAACAAGCTTGACCCTCGTGTCGACAGTGATAAAGGTATGTCATTTCACCCTCATCTCACATCCCTCCTCCTTCACAAGAGTAAATGATACTGATTGTCTCAGATCACCGTGCTGCCGACATTGATGGGACTAGCGCTAGTGTTGGAGTAACCCACGACACCGCCACCGCTACTGGCACTCACGGCACTACCCACGGCACTACCCACGGCAACACTGGTGTGACCGGCACTCATGGCACCACTGGTAGTACCAACACTGGTCCTCATAGCTCCAACCTCGCCAACAAGGCTGACCCCCGTGTGGATTCTGACCGTGACCCCCGTGCTGCTCACACCGATGTGACTGGCGCTGGTCTTGGCTCGCCCTATGCGCCAATCACCACTACAGGCACTCACAGCTCGGCCCTAGGCTCTGGCACTACCCACGGCACATCTGGTGCGACAGCTACCGGTGCTGGTCTCGGATCCACCCACGGCACCACTGGCAGCACCAACGCTGGTCCTCACAGCTCCAACATCGCCAACAAGCTGGACCCCCGCGTTGACTCGGACCGCGACAACCGTGCTCGCCACGAGGGTCTCACTGGTGCTGGAACCGGTGCTAGTCTTGGAACATCTCACGCCACTATTGCTCCAGGCACTCACGGCTCGACCCTGGGTTCTGGCACTACCCATGGCACTACCCACGGCACCACCAGCAACACCCATGTCGGCCCCCACAGCTCCCACATCGCTAACAAGGCCGATCCCCGTGTTGACTCTGACCATGACCACCGTACTCGCCATGAAGGTCTCCCCGGTGCTAGCACCGGCACCGGTATTGGATCTACTCATGCTACTCACGGCACCACCGCCCCTGGCACCCACAGCTCGACTCTGAGTTCTCGAACTGGTCCTACCCACGGCGCTCCCACTGCCACCCCCGGCAGCAGCAGCACCAATGCTGGACCCCATAGCTCCAACATCGCCAACAAGCTCGACCCTCGCGTTGACTCGGACCGTGACAGCCGTGTCCAGCACTCTGGTCTCGCTAGTACTGGTCCTGGTACTACTACCCACGGTACCCACTCTCACGGTGCTACTGTTGCTCCCACTGGCTCGGCAATTGGTGGCTCCGGCCTTGCTGCTGGGCACCACGATACTCTTGCTGGTAGTAGCTACAATACCCCTGCCACTGGAACAGCTCCTGGTACCACTGGTCCCCATGATTCGAGCATCGCCAACAAGCTTGATCCCCGTGTCGACTCGGATGCTGCCCGTGCTCATAATGAAGGTCTTCACCGTCAGATCTAGGGACTTTGAGAACTTGATCTCGGTTTTCTTTTTTTGGGGGGGGGGAGGGAAGGACCAGAGAGAAAGGGCTTTGACACAATGCCACGAATTTGAAATTAATAGCTAGCAATTTTGCTTTTTCAATACTACAAATGAGTCAACAGTTTAATGATCTTTGCTGTGTAGCGTTGTACATATTTTCCCAAGTCAAGAGTATTAAGCCCGCAAATCTCCATCACTCGCCTCAACTCTGAGATTCTGGCATATCTTCAATATTGTACAGTATGGTTGTTTCAATTTTCAAACACCAAAGACCTCTTTCACAAGGGCCTTCTTATTAACCTTCCCCATAGCATTCCTCGGAATAGCGTCTAAGACCTTCATCTCCTGCGGGATCTTAAAAGAAGCAAGAGAGCCCTTCAGCGCGCGTCGCATATCCATCGGGCTCCAAGATCGGCCATTACGACCTGAAGCAGCCGCATCAGGAGACAGAACAACCACAGCAGCAATCTTCTGACCCCACTGTTCAGATGGGAGGCCAACGACTGCAGCTTCGGTGACTTGAGGACTAGAGCCCCATCGTCAGTACAGATGTTCCACGTGAATGTCCAACAGAAAAGAAACAACTTACAGTGAAAGCAACTCCCTCTCAACCTCCAAGGCGCTGACCTTCTCAGCCCCAGTCTTAATGATATCAACACTCTTCCGCCCCTGGATGAAATACATCGGTCCCTGAGCCCAAGCTCCGCTCGTTCCACGACCGGCTCCATCAACGATCCTCCGAGTCGCGACATCGCCTGTGCAGAACCACGCTCTGCCTCCATCATCGCTCGGGACAAAACTCTCGCGTGTGGCTTTCTCGTTTCCCCAGTAATGACCGAAGATCGTTTCGCCGCGGAGCTGGATCTCGCCTTCGCGTTCTCGGCCATTGGAAGTCTTTTCTTCGACTGGGATAATAGCACCCGTCTCGAGATCGGCGAGTCGGGCTTCGACACCGGGGAGCGGCCAGCCGACACTGCCGTCCACGCGGTCTGCGCCATCGAGGCCGCAGCTAATCGCCATCCCGACTTCGGTCATGCCGAAGCGTTCGAGCAGGACGTTGCCATTGCTGAGGTTTGTCCAGGCGGTTTTTGTGGGCGTTGGGAGGGCGGCGGAGCCGGAGATATTCAGGCGGAGGTTTCGTGGAGATAGTCCTTCTTTGGCGGCTGCTTGGAGCTCTGGGGTTAGTTTGGGGAAGGTAGCCATGAGACGGTTGTAGATTGTTGGGACGGCAGTGAGGAATGTGATGGCGGATTCTGAAGTGTTGGATGGGAGGAAGGGTGCTGCGAGTCGTTTCCAGACTTTATCCGGGTTGAAGGGGTACATGAACTCGATTGAGGAGCCTGCTACGATTGGTGCCACGATTGCGTTTACCACGCCGTGGATGTGATGGAGGGGGAGTAAATGAAGCAGTCGGTCGTTTGGTGTGTACTTCCATGCTTCTAGTAGAGAAGACGCTTGCGCGGCCAGTGCCGATTGAGGGATGAGAACACCTTTCTATTTCGAGTTAGCAGTAGCTCCTGATGTGCAGGGAACCAGATGAGCCCACCGGTCGATTTGTGGTTCCAGATGTATATAACATCATCCCACCGGAAGAAGGCTGCTTCAGATCATACAGGGTTACGCCCTCGCGGCTCGATGCGCCGCCCTCTGTGAGCTGATTGCGGATAGCAAATAGAGGCCCATGCTCTAATCCTTCTCGCACGATTTCCATCCCTTTATCGGCATACCTCTCGGTTGTCAGCAGCATCTTAGCCTGTGAGTTATCCAGTATGTATTTCAGCTCTGCAGTCGGGAAAGACGGCGAGAGTGGGAGCGCAATGGCATCACTAGCAAAGATCGCCAGCAGAGTCACTATGTATCTATTAGTATTCCAGACTTATCCTTGGGTTCAAGACAACAGTACCTACGTAGTCATAGCTGTTCTCCGCGAGGAAGGCAATCCGCTCGCCAGCCAATTGGCCCTGCGCTGTCGTAGCTTTCTGTTCCAGGTCGTCCTTGGCGCGGACGACATCGGCAATTAGACTACCGTATGTGAATGATCGGGACGAGGCGCTATGCACAACAGCCAAACTATCAGGGGCATGGTTCTGGAGTGCGCGGAAGATATGTGTGTTGGGGAGAGTCGACAAGAGTCTCGCGCCGAGAGACGTTCGCCGCGGAGTGAGGCAATTGCGCGCATTGGAACGCGAAAGCAGCGAGAGGAAACTGCCAGACATCTTTGAATTTCAGATAAATTTTTTTTTAGGTTTTCATCTCACAGCATATACCACATTCAAAAAGAGAAGCAATTGAGGTGTCGAGCAGAAGATCGGTTGATGTCATCAGAGTGAAGTTCCGAAATCAAAAACATCCGATTGGCTTCATTTGCGGACGTTTCTCTCCTCTTCGCTTTTTCCTTTGATCGCTTCTTGTCTTTTTTTCTTCTAAATGCTTCCTCGCAGCCTTCCAAATCTCCTCCCTCGCCGTCTCTTCTCTGTTTCTGCTAGGATGGCCTCCGGTACGCCATTGGAGGATGTCATGCGCGATAAGGCGAGCCACGATTCCATGTTGTTGACTGCCATTGCTCATACCTCTCCCCTCTTTCTATAGATCGTTCACGCCTTCACACCTTCGAAACTCGAGATCCGGAATGACTCTCACCTTCATGCGCACCACGCTGCAATGGAAGGGTCGGTGTCGAAGGAGACGCATTTCCAGTTCGTCCCCCCACCAATGAACAGACACGGTGTACTAGCGAGCATCTAATCTCTCGCAGTGTGACAATCGTCTCTGATTCCTTCGAATCGAAGATGCAACCCGCTCGGCATCGCATGGTCTACGCATTGTTCAAGGAAGAGATGGCTCGTGAGGGTGGACTACACGCACTGCAGTTGAAGACGAAGACACCTGCAGAGGACCAGCGCGAGAAGGAAATGAAGAAGAAGGCATAGAGAACGGATTGTAAGGGCGCTCAGGTGCTCGTTATTCTGAAATGAGTCTTGTCAAGTCAGATACCCCCAGACGATGACTCGAAATGCACCACATCATACTGCACAAGGCGCCTGCGGTTCCGATACTCAGCTACAGTGGTATATATCAGATTCGTGAGTGAAGGGATCAATTATTAGACAGTATTACATAGGTTCTAGCGCCAAACAAGGGGCCGAGGAAAGCAACAATCTAGTATATACATCCATGCGCCGCGACATCACGAGCCAAGAAGTGACAATCATCAAGGGCCATCGCATGTTAGGCGAGCAGCTGTACCAAAACACGCAGGTACAGCGAGTGGGCAAAGACACAAAGAAAACAGGAGTTGGTAGACATTGCTTTTACACAAGGAAATGCGAAAGGGTGGTATAACGAGGGGACAAAGACAAATGGGAAAATGCGGAGATGCGTCAATCCCCGGGAAAGGTCGTACATAGAGGAGGAAGGAAGGAGATGTAGTGCAACAAACAGATCAGTTCTTGTTCTTGTTGCTGCTGGTGACACCGACGGCCACGCCGACGACAATACCAATAATGATAACTGGATAACTAGATTAGCGAATCGGCCTCATAATGTTGGGTAGGCAAGTAAATACTCACGGATGACAAGCAATGCATACCACTTCCAGCGCCTAGCGTTCTTGGCACTCTCGATAGCGCTGTCAAGCTTGGTGTTGGCCTGCTCGACGTTGCGGTGTGTCTCTTCGGCTCCCTGTTGAATTTGTTGGACTGCAGGCTCCTGCTGTTGCACCAGCTCTGCGACCTCATTGTACAGGTGGCTCAGTTCGATCAAATCCTGCTCGATCTTGCGGATGGCGGCGGAACGCTGCAGAGTAGCCTGACGGGCATCGTTGGCCTGGCGAGTGCGAGTACCGGGAACCTATTCCTCAAATATTAGCCATAGACCACCAAGGAAGATTTGACTCGGGCAAGACATACAACAAAGCTCTGCTCCTGTCCCATGAGAACATTCTGCACACCCTGTTCTAACTCCTCGGGAGTAGCGTCGGGGTTGGCAATCTCGAATCTGCGGCGCACTTGCTCTTCCAGACGCTTCTGGAAGTCGCTCTGTGTGCGCTGGTATTGCTCAATCTCACGACGCAGGTTGCGGCTAACGTTCTCGACCTGGCCCTGCACACGCGAGTCGCCAGATCCGGGAGTCTCCTTGATGCGCTTGAACTGATCGCGCAGGTAGCGCAGCGCAGTATTGATCTCATCTTCAATGTAGTCGAGTGCTTGGCGCGAGGACTGGTCTTCCTTGCCGGTGCTCGAGTCCAAAAGAGCTTTTTGGGCAGCGATCAATTGTGTCTCGCGCTTCTTGGTCAGCTCGTTGATGCCCTCGTTTAACTCCTTGCACTTGTTCAAAATCGCAGTTGGACCGCCAGATGAGGCTTGGTTGACGTTGGACATCTCTGTCGGGGAATTAGAGTCGATGCAAGGTTGCGCGGTTATCGGGTCAGCATACCATAGCCACCATTTCCCTGCTCCGCGGCACCAGCCTGGTTATAACCAGCACCGTATCCATAGCCCTGCTGTTGTTCCTCGTCCTGATAGGGATTGTTCTGCTGTTGACTTCCGTATGGGTTGTACTGGCCGTAGCCGCCTGCGTTAGAATCCCCTAAGCTCTGGTACTAGGGGAAGTCGCGTCAGAAAGCACATTCAGGTAATCAAAGAGGTTGCCATTGATTCACTCACACTCATGATGTGCAGATTCTCAAGTTCTCAAAGCCGTGAAACAAGACTATGATAGAAGGGGGGGAGGGATGAAGGAGGGAAGGGTGAGACGGGAGAAGTGGAGGATACGGCAGAAGCGCTGGCGGTGTCAGAGCAGCAAAGCCAATAAGGTCCGGGTGTTAGTCGCGCTGAAAAGCAAAATTTAGCATTAATTTCGTTGGAATTAAATGAGCTTGGGGTTTGATGGGGTTTCGTGGGTTTCATAAGTTTCATGGGTCTTCAAATTTACGATTTTCTTAGGGGTCCCCTTTTTTAATAATTTCCTACAGAGTGGACAGTGCACCGTTGTTCCTACATTAGTACGAAGTACGGATACAACCTTGCGATTTGATGGAGTCCGCTAAGATTGACCATTCAGTGTGGCTGAGTCTGTTCTATTTAAGACACAGTTAGATCGTGATTGGCCCAAAGTGGATCGGCATGGTGGGATCTATTTTCCAAGGGACGGAGTACTGGGTACTTGGCTTTCTTAGGAAGAACCCACCTTTAAAGAAGTAGCCAGTACTTAACCAAGGGTCTGTGGCAACGCGAGTCTGCACGTCATGATTATAATGGACGATGAAAGACATATGTAACTATTTCAATAGGAACATATTCCAGTCCCATCCAATGCTGCCAGGGAGGCAAGTCGGAAATAGTATGCGTAGGGGAATCTCCAAGAGCTGAAGACTGAAAAAAACGATGAAACTTGGCCAATCAGGACGTTTGAAAGGGTCCATGAGCCTCATGTTAGGCATCAACGATGTACATGTTCAGGACGTAGGTAGAACGGTAATCCGGATGCCTTTTTGGAGATTCTTCTTAGAATGTTAAGAGAAGTCTCACTGCCCGATCTAGCCTAATGATGCAACAACATAGTCACAAGGGCTTCAGAGTCTAGTGGGATAAGTCGAACTGTTTCTCCTTCCTTTTCTAGGTGGGCTGCCACAGACCACGCGACAAGCCCGCCAAACGAGAAGCCACATTCATTGGAGGGACCTCGAGGCTGCTTGCGACGAATCAGTGCTGCGTGATCTCTCACCATGGCACTTATGCACGAGTACGCACTGGGTTGGTCGATCTGGATGTTGTCCACTCCAATCACTTCATATAAGCGCAAGTGCTGGGCTAAGCTGCGATATTGAATAGACACCCTCGTCACGGCAAAAAGAAGCAAAAGCTGAATGCGCTTGGAACCTTGGTTGTATAGCGGAGTGATGTTTGGGAATGAAATTAATGATTCTGTTAGGGCAGCCTCCAATCTGTCGTCGGGAAGTAGGCTTGAAGTGACCACTTCTTCTGCGATATATGCCGCAGAAGTTTGATCAGTAGACACATCTTTAGCTAGCAGGAGAAGGCGCCGGTAGTCAACTTTGTTGCTCGCAGTTAGAGGTAAACAGGAAAGCCCTACGATACGCTGCGGAATGAAATCTGCGGAAAGATTCCGCTGGGCTTGGACTGCCAATCGAGAAGAGACAGGTGACAACGAGACCACCCGCACCTTTGCATCCCTTGAGGTTTGATTTGAGTAGAATACCACTTATGCCGTCTTACCGGTTGATTGAGTATGCAGCACAGTGGCTACTTGGGTTTCAGAGGTAGATGAAACGTTCTATTTCATCCAACTCCACTCGACGTCCGTTGATTTTGACTTGACGATCCTGTCGCGAGAAGAAAAGAAGGTCTCCCAAATCTGACCACATCCCTAAATCGCCTAGAAACAGAAAAATGTTAGTACAAGTGTGTCAGACCATTGTGGTTGATCAAAATCAATTGGGAAATGGTTCATTCCAAATACATACCGGTTCTATACATCAACCCTTGACGAAATGGATTTTGGCGGAATGCTGTGGCTGTCAGATCGGGGCGACCGAAATATCCACAAGACAATTGACGGCCAGCGACCCATATCATTCCACGAGCACCTATTGAGGCGAGGCGCAAATTCTCATCTAAAATGTACACAGACATGCCAATTGCTGGTCTCCCGATGAAACCGAAGGTGTAACACTGATTGTGATGATGGCATGATTTTTGAGCAGCATGGAAAAGCGAGACATTGCCTCTACGTGAGATGTCATGACCAATGTTGCCCCTGCAAAGATGCAACCAAATATGTCACTTTGGGACATGTCAAATCTTGACCGGGCAAACAAGAAAATTCGATCCTAAGGAGTGTAGTTCAGTGCGTGTGCCATCATGACTCCGAATCCAACTACCTGGCGATGAGGCATGGCTACTCCTTTGGGCCTCTAGTGGTGCCGTTAGTGAATAGAAATAGTTGCAAGATCGTCCAATCCTGCCGTTGACGGTGGTAGAGGTGGTGATGCTGTTGGAATAGTGAGCTCTCCAAAATGGTCGGCGCTGGTAAATAACCCGTTGCGCAGCTGACCACAAAGTTCCATGCTGGTGATGATTGCGGATGGTTGAATCTCCGCAAATAGCCGTTCCAGGCGGTTCCTGGGGCTCTCGAGGTCCAATGGGACGTATGAACAATCCATTCGGTGTGCTGAAAAGATTGAAGCCACCAGTGAAATTGATTCATCGAGATAGAGACATATTTGCGTTGTACGCTGAACCACAGCAGTGGCAGGACGTGCTGCGGTCATCTCAGCGTGACTTTTCAATTGTTCGTAGGTCAGGCTTTGGGTGGACTGGCGATCGTGGTATTCGAGAGCAATCTTCCGGGGAACTGTTGCGACTATGCGACGGAGAAGCTGCCATGATGTACATTCATGGTCTACTGGAAAAGATGACCCCTGGCTGAAATGTTTGAGGGCTTGCCACTGGTTTTCGCTCAAGAGCTGGAGAGATGACAATGGTTGGTTAATATCAAAGCTTCCACTTTCGTCTAGTGTAGTGATAACTTGAATAGATTCACCATAGACCGCCAACAGTCTCTCAAGGTGTGCGTCGGTGTCCTTTCGACCATGAGCGCGAATCTTTATCAGCAGAGTTCCTTCCATAAGATTTCTTGTTAGAATGCCCCGGCATGATTTTCGACTGGCGTGGATGCTTGTTCTTCATTTTCAGGTTGCCGAGGTGACAGCGAGCCTGAAGCTTCAAGCTTGTTTTGGTTGCCGCAAATATACTCCATCGTGTTTGTAAATTACTCAGTTAGATCTCGAAGAGCATTTTGATCAACAACACGGTCGTGCGATACTTAAAACCGACGCGGGGTGGGCGAGAAACAACTTCAACGTGGACGATGAGATCGTAATGACTTCCACGCGAAAGAGCGTCTATAGGTCTACATTCAATCCTTTGACCTTTGATTTCTGTCGGTAGACCGCTTCAGTCATGGAATGCGAACTGAACACTCAGCTTTGCTGGTCTTTTGGGGCTACTGGAACTCTGGAAATGAGCCAAAGTATCCTCTAACGGCTGTTCGTGGCTCACTCATTCCCAGTATTCCCGAGCTGACTTGCGCACCCGTTCTTAGCGACACCAGGTCTGATCGACCTTTCACCCGCGTGTATGCAGCGGGAGGCCCAGTTGAATCAAGGTACCAGGAAGCCCTTACTCTCGCCATGGCGGGAATTGGTGTTCGAGACTCCCTCGAAACTTGGGTGACTCTCTGTGTCGAACTTATCTCAGTCTTCCTCCTCGGAAGTACCTGTCTTCTTTCCACCACGGGTTTTACTAAGCATCGTACAAGCTGGTCTTATATTGAGCTCAGTGATGACAATTTCAACACATCTAGACACTTTCCTCTGGGCACTGATCAATCTAGAGGTAGAGATGATCTCACTCGAGCGTCTCGCCCATTATCTTCATGGTATTGATCAGGAGGCTGATCCATCCTTACGTGCAACACTTCATACAATCTGGCCTTCTGAGGGGAATTTGTTTTCCGATGTCACAGTTACTTATGCTCAAAGAGACACACCTTCGCTACAAGGTTTTTAGTCTAGACGTGCTTTCAGGAGCAAAAATTAGTATTCAAGGTCGAACTAGTAAGTTCACCCAGAGCGTAAAAGCAAATCGACCATCATTGCGGCGCTGATGGACCTCACCCCTATTACCAAAGGGCAAATCAGCATAGACGCCATCGATCTGAGTACCATTCCTCGGTCCGTACGGCGGCTTAGCACTCATGGATTGGCCCAAGATCCAATCTTCTTTAATGGCACGATGAGAGAAAACCTCGACCCAACGTCGGAGTCATGGCCGGGGTCCGTCAAAATACTAGCATTCCCATCCCCGCCATCATTCGCTATGATGAGACCGATAAGAACATTATCGGTCATGAATTCTCGCTGCTCGAAAAGGCTCCCGGGAAGAGTATTGATCAGATTTACCATACGCTGTCCGTAGAGGTCCGCACTAAAATGGTCCACCAAATGACGGACTATCTGATCGAGCTTCATGCGCACCCCTGGGATGGTTACGTCGGGGGATTGACACCCACGAACGGAGAGGTCACTCCCGGCCCTCCAATTGATGAGAACTTTGGGCAATTGCCCGATCTAGAGAAGTATTGGGCAGGATCCGAGTCTTTGGAGTCCTTGAACCCGATTCCATCTCAAGGGTTCGCTGGCTTTGTCGCCTTCACCGTCGGGTGTCTCGATCACTACATCTACCTGTGCATCCTTCTTGCGTGGTTTCATCTTCTACGCCCTCTTCCGTCACCTGAATGCAAAGGAAGACGACATGAACGCCCTTGATGTAGCTAAATAAGAGATACCAACTCGTAACAATGTGTGATCGGATAAAGGGACACTAAAACTAGGTACAAAAGTGCTGGTGAGCCTGGAACAGATTAATTTGAATATTTTCATTTATCTTTATGAGTTATATATACTACAGGTAAATTAAAGCATCACATCATGCCACGTCTCATGAGCTGCACAGCAGTTATAGAACACAGAGGGTCCTGCTCTGATGCAAGCAATTGGGGAATTAAAAAAAAAGGACAATCCCAGTGTAGAGAAACTTGCAAAGCCAATGCAAAAAGAACAACAAAAACAAAGGATGACACAAATACCAGTGACAATGCTTATTCGGGCTTGGACTGGCGCGGTTCCGTACCGAGCGGAGCTTCTGGCTCGTTGTCCTCGACATCAAGGGCGTTCATGTCGTCTTCCTTTGCATTCAGGTGACGGAAGAGGGCGTAGAAGATGAAACCACACAAGAAGGATGCACAGGCAAGACCGGCGAACATCCACATGATGGCGGGATCAAAGGCGGCGGGGGTGAGGGCTTCGGCGAGAGCAGATCCAAACGCGTTCGTGAGGAGGAACATCGACTGCACGAAGGACTTCATGCTGGGTGGCGCCTTGGTGTAGGCGTACTCGAGACCGGAGACGGAGGCGAAAATCTCAGACAAACCGATGAAGACATAGGCCGGGGTTTGAATGGCGATGTGCACCCTGTTGCCTTGGGCTGAGCCATCGACCTCGGAGGCCGCGCACAGAGGGTGGCCGTAGCAGGGGCCGGCGGAGTAGATCAGGTGTTGCACGATGGCGGCGTACATCATGGCAAGCGAGGCGACGATGAAGCCAAGGGAGATACGGGTGATGGGGGGGAAGGGGATCTTCATGCGGCGCATCAGGGGGTAGATACAGGATTCAAGAATGGGAATGAAGACGATGATGGAGATGGGATCAAAGTTCTGCATTAGATCGTTGGGAATGCCGTGGCCTTCCATCTGGCCGGCTTGGGTTACGAAGTTGCCGGAGAATTGTCCATAGACGACCCAGTAGATCGGATAGAAGGCAAAGACGCGGCACGCGACCAGGGCACGCTTCAGCTCATCGATAAAGTGGTCGTCCCAGTCGACAGCCGACACACCATTGTGCTCGTTCTGCCAGGAGGGCTTGGGAGCATCCGTGTTGCGATTCTTGATCATAATCCAAAGGGCGCGGAAAGCGTTGGTGATGATGGAGCCCTGGGGTGGGCGAACGACGTAGTACTTGCGGCCGAGAACAATCACCACGGTACCGACCATGAACATGCAGAGACAAAGAAGGTAGGCGGGCCAAAAGTCGATGTACAATTCCATGTAAGGAGTGGCGAGAAGGGATAGCGAACCGAGGTTGATGCATCCGTAAAAGATCATGTAGATACGCTGGATGGTCAGGGCCGGGTCGATTACCACGCGTTCGCCCTTTTTGGTGGTGGTGATAGCCATCTTTTTCCGCTTGTACTGATCCGCAATCAAAGGAGCCACGTTACTCTTGATACCACCGGTACCAAGGCCAATGATCAATATGGCGACAACGAAGCCACCAAGACCCGCACCGTGATCCAGGGCAGAGGGGATGGAGGTGCAGACGAGGATGAGCAGACCAACCATATAGACCATACAGAACAGCACAATAGTCTTGTACTTGCCGAGATATTGATCGGCGACGATGGCACCGAGGATAGGGGTAACATAACACCAGAACTGGAAAAAGGTCGTAAGACCGGTGGCACCTTGGTGATCCATACCGAGCGCGCCACGTCCCTCGCTACCATCCCGAGGTCGCTGGACGTAGTTCTGGAACAGACCGGACATGCCGTAGTAGGTGAAACGCTCGCACAGCTCGACGACAGCCACCAGCCAGGCGGAGAGGGGCAGGTTCTCTGCGACATGGCGCAAGGAAGTCTTCTCCAAGATGGTGGGTTCGCCGCCATCCGGGGTGATCTGATTCTCCTTCTCCAAATCGGCATCCATAGCCTTTTCATTCAAGACGACGTGCTGGGTGACCTCCTCGCTATCGTAGGATGGAGCTCTAAAGCTAGTATTAGCTGCGCTCTGGGCTTTTCCAGACAAAATGATACTTACGCAGTAGTATCAATCTCACGGTCTGTGGACGCCATGGCTATAAGACCAGATGGTGCCTTCTCTGTCAAGAGGGCAAGAAAAACTAACAATCAGAGTAGAGAAATAGGCCAAAAAAGAAAGGGTGTGAATAATGCTATATATGCAATTTTTCCTTCCTCAACAACCTCTGCTGAGCGGGACCGGAGCACTGTCGAGCAAATTAAAAAAAAATTAAAAAAAGAAGGAATTAAAAAAAAAATTTCAACATGCACGCCATCCCCCATGCCCCTGTACCACTAAGGTTCATCTGAGAAGGTCGAACATAGGCCATTGTGCGCGGGTCGACCGTGGATGCGATCGGCAGTAGTTATCGTCCTACTGCGAATGGCTGAACTAGAGGAAAATGACCCACGAATGCAACCAGACGGCACGAAGAGGCGAATAGCCAAGCAAAAACGCCAAGAACGGAGTGGACTTGTATCAGGTTTGGGTCAATTAGAGCAGCGAATAAACAGGTCTTGCATCTTGGCATCTGGGGATTTCTGGAAGGGCCAGTCCGAGTCCACTTCGTGTTGTCAAATCACATTGAGATTTCCAGTCGGAGATTGCCGGTGAGGTGGAAAATTTCCCAGAGAGCGTTTCCGGTGGAATTCGCCACGAGGGCAAATTCACATTGTATGTTTTTTTTTTCCTCCCATGCCGGAGTCAAGTCGATGCTCCGCCCTTGTGTAGTTGGAATATATTCGGTTAATCTTCTTGACCGAGATCTCACATCATATGTTGGCGCGTTGGCCACCTTGAACGTCTTCGGGTGAGGCAGGGGTTGGACCGGGGCAACAAATCCGGTTTCAGTCATTGCATGTTTGAGCAGGGGATCCCTTGAAGGTCAATGATCATCACCATTCACCATATGATTGTTCACATTCCCCAGCATTTCTCGTCAAATGTAACGTTGGGGCCGTTTTCCCGTCGCGTGTGTCTCAAAACTTGACGCTACCCGCTGACCCCAGCACCATTTGGCAATATCCAATACCATTCACTGTCATCTAACAGCGATGACCTGAGAGGAACCATTTTCAGTCCAATCGTGGTCTGGTCAGGTCTGATCTTGGTTCTGGGGTATTTATTCTCTCGTAAAAAAAGTGTCAAGGAGAGGAGATGGGAGGTGGATCTGATGTGTGCTCGATGCCAAGACCAAAAAAGATAAGGAGAGGTTTCTGTTAGTCTTGCTCATTAGTGTGTAGATGTGTATCTCTGGACATCAAATGTCATCTCCTAATCAAAGAGGTCAATTTTAGGTGGGAAAGTGAAAAAAAGAAAAGATCAAAAGATCACTCTGTAGTAGAGGGACACCGCTCATATATCCAAGAGAGTCATCCACGCCCTTCGAGCTCCGACTTCGCTTGTGGAGGACTTCAGGTCCACCAACAGGAGAGCTTGTCACCAACATTCACCCTCAAATGGCGTAAGCTTCCAAGCCTTGAGCTCCGCCAAGTGACCAACGCTTTTTTTTGAAAGAGTTCCTCCAAGACTGCTTCAAGATGTTGGCATGTCAGTCCCGACATCGGCGCCTGACTTGTAAAATCAGGTCCCCGGGTTCGATTGTCTTCATCTCAATCCAAGTCCGATATGATCCGGCTGCGACTTTCCGATTGAACTACTCAGTAACCAGAACCACTCTCTGTATGGAGTGGTTGAGCCAATATGAGATTATCAACATTCCGGAAGACATGCTGCGATGTCGGCCCCCAATCAAGATTACAAGGAGACGGAGTACGGAGTAGAGATTCTGATATTGCGGCACAAGGCGCCACTCGGAGCAGCGCGGTAAATCTCCGTAACTTGTCGCTATGGATCGTATCCGAGCTATATCCTATTGCTAACCGAGGAAAATCCCGTGGCTGGACTTCGTACAGAGAACGGAGCATTTGCTATAAGAATGGCCATCCATGAACTGCCTTGAAGAAATACGGACGTATCTTGAGGTGTTGTTTCTAGGTATTCTGACCATGGGATTTTTGTCCCAGTTGAGATTTGGAAGAAGTATCAGTCCCGATCAGAGATTTTATGAAAGCAGCTTGCTTACGTTTGTAGATAACTGTGTCCGATTGGCTAACCCACAGACAACTTTTGACTACTCCGGCAATTGGATGCCTTTTGTCTCTCTAACCAGTCTTGCATGTGCATTCGATAGGATCAATTTAACACTGCCAGGTCTGGGGTTTCGCCAGAATGAAATTCAGTGTTGCCCTTGAACAGCCGACTGTATTAGGACATCTCTGTGGGCGTGAGCTCAACCCCCTGATCTTTGAAGATCGATATCCAATTCTCAGATATAAAAGCAAAACCTAGGAGCAACCCTTCCATTCCCTTCCAACGAGGACAACTTACAAGCTCTGTTTGCCCCGAGGGCCTTCCTGGATATTTAGCCACGAGGTCACGTCCCAAGCAGTCCAGCTGCTTTCTCACCTTTATCATTATGAAAAATGTGGGAAGAGTAAGCGTGGTCTCAACGGTTGGAGGTGGTACATGTGCCTGTGACTCCTTTCACCAATCATACCTTCAGTTACCAAACACCCAACGACCCTAAGGCTGTTGGCGGTTAGCGATGGATTATAAGTGGCTAGTAACAAGTGTACCGAGTGGGAAGACGTTGGAGGGGTTAGATCACATATGTGTACCCGTGATTCTAATCACCAACCCCCTTAGCGTATCGTTTTTGGTGGTCAACGACAGACTACTAGAACCAAGAGCCGGGCATGATGTGATGTTTGGCGGTTAGGTCACATTTGACTACGTGTACACGGAGATCCTATCAGCAGCATCCCGCAAGGGTATTTGCGGTCATCAGTGTATGACAGGCGGCTAATTTTGGTTGCTGAGCGTAATGTGAGACTCGAAATGCCACAAGCTCTGTCATGGTTTCCAAATCGAGATCCGAAGCGTGATGGAAGTTGCTATGGCTAGCTATGCTTTGGAATCCCAAAGGAGGGCTCGATATATCTAGCACACCATTATCTAACCGTTCTGTTTCTCGTGCATCGTGGCTTGAACAAACTTCCTCACGAGTTTCGATTGTCTAACTAGCATCAATCTCGAGCTTGTGTACCTCAACTTGGATCACTGTCTATAATCCTGTGATCAGCATGGCCGAAATTGCACCGGCCACAATAGGAAACGATGTCAACACCCGACATGTCAATAGAACCGAGAGCCCTAATAATTGCTTCTATGGTTGGTATGTCTACTAGTCAAGTATATGTGGCCATACACTCCAGGAAGCCGGTCCGCTGCGGATCCAAGATCACGCCGTCTGGGAAAAGTGGTTTCTGCCGTTCCCCAGCCCTCAAGAACATCCGGGTCAGTGAGGATCAATATCAAGTGCAGATACTGTTGACACTAAGTATATATATCAGTCAGTGGTGTACAGTGCTGCTTACGGAATACATACTGAAGCTATCATCTGAGGCCACTTTTACCCTTCAAAGATCCTGATCGGAGAGTGATGATATCCTTTGATGATGTATTGAAGGTATGATGGCCGAATATCCCACAAGAGCGCCGCAGGTAGCGAAATAATGGGAGACCTGTTGGGGGCTGGAGTTCGCTGTTCGGGCCAAACTAGGTTGGGGGAAACTGAGTGCGTACATCGAGTGTGTTTCTATTTGATGAGCATTTGGCGGAGGGATTAGGGGTTGCGAGAACCGAAAATGGATGGAGTAGGCGAAGAGAAAGCCTTCCAACTCGCTAAGCTGATCAGACGAGATCAGAATCAAACACCGATGAGACAGGGTTTAGACAATTAAGCGGCCGAACTACACCAACGGATGTACCGAGACCTCCCAGCATAAGCACCATCCAAAACGAGCAGCTCTGCTCGGGTACTTGATGTCGCCAAAACCGACTTAACACACCAACGCCAAAAGTTGAATGCATCCGTGAACAGGTCATATTTGTATAGAATAATGTAAGGGGAAAATGCCATCATACTGGCACGACCTCGACCTCAACCACGGCATAAGCCCCGTAAGATGTGTTTGGTAGAGTAAGATACAAGGCGCAAGCAATCAGGTCGTCCCTGCAGAACTATGCAGCAAGGCGGGCATAAAGGAAAGGGACCTCGGTCCCTATGTGAATCACCCCCAGTTTCCAGCACCGCACATCGAGCCGAGTCAATTCACCTCAATTCGTGTGTCGTCCGTAATCGTGAAATCTGCGCATTGCCATCCGCCCCCTGTATTTCGTTTTTCATCCTCGTCTGCGTATCGCCGTCTCAACCTACTACCCTTAAACAGTGTACTTGGCCTTCGCACGCGTGCTACCACTGTGTGCACTGTCGGTGTGGCCGGAGAACTCCACCACATCCGCCAAGTTGAGCCGCAGCACGTCCTTGAAACGCTGACCAATTGCCTCGAGAATCTCCTTGCCCTGCGCCTGTGTGCGGGTGTGCTTATCGCCCTGGATGCTCTTACCGACTGTGCGTGTCCATAGACCGACACGATAGAAGCCCTTGCGCACATTCACAACCACTCCCATCACTTCGTTGTCGTCGTCGTTCTCGAGGGTCTCGCCGATCGCGGCCAGCTGCGCGTGCAGCCAGAGTTCGTCGATGGGGACAGAGCGCTTGTCCTTGAACTGGTATGACCACTTTCCACCGTGCTTGTTTTGGGGGTCCTCCCACTCAGGTCGTACGCCCTTCTTGAAGAGGTGGTAATCGGCCTTGAGGCCAAGTTCGGAGGTCGGCGTGATGTTGTTCTGATAGCGATCGAGGTTAGTGTGATGGTCGGTCGGGGGAGATTTCAGATTAAACATACATAGATTCCCCAGAATTCTTCAACGGAGCTGAAGGTAACCACCTCCTTAAGCAGATCGTTCCAGTTGTCGCCCTAATTTCCATTGGTAAGAATGTTGATGTCGGTATCTCAAAATGGTGTCTCCTACCTTGCCACTGGGGGGCTTGGTGAACCAAAGAGTCCATTCGTGCATAAGAGGGTGCTTCACGTTGAAGTCATCGGGGTTGTGGAAGACAGTGACGGCGTCACCAGTCTGAGTCTCAGTGACAGGAACAGAGTTCTCATCGGCAACAGCCGGAGTACCGTTTTCTGCGACGGTAGCCATGATAAATGGATATGGAGGGGGAGGGGGACGATCGAGTTGGGAAAGTCGGAGGGGCGAGAATTTCAGGGAAAGCGCAAATCGGGGCTTTTCGCACAAAGAAGGTAAAAGGAATCCGAGACTGGATCGAGTTAGCAGTAATAGTCTGCTCCAGGCAGTGTGAGATGAGAATGGAGGTGGGCGACAATCGACTGCAAAGAGTGGAAGTTTTGAAGTTCGAGCCACAAAAACTTGCCTTGCCTCTTTGGGTTCTTCCGTAACATAATCAATATCTCCTGCCCAGGTGCTAACTAACTAGATGTGTGTCCGATCTTCACTTTGCTCTTATTTCTACTTCGTATCTCATTTGATACATTTATTCTAATTTTCAATTGGAATATCTAGATTCGGGTTTTAAACCATCCAGAATCTACGAAGCTGAAAATTTCAGAAAAAAATCTTCCCGAGCACAATGCCTGAGGACCAAACAATCCGACAACCAAAAAACCATATATAATCAGGAAAGCCGATAATGAAAACTTTTGGGGTATCTCAATTTGCGCCTTGGAATTCTAGTTACTCGCTGCTGTTCATCAAGCTAAGGAGGCAGTTCCAGCCTGTTATGTTGTTAGTGACTGAAGGAGTATAACCAGCAACACTTGGAAGCAAAGTACTCACCCAAACTAATAACATTGACGAACAGCAAGCGCAACTCTACCGGGACAAATGTAAAGTTGACACCCTGTACAAATGGCCAGACCATCAGGTTGGCCTTATAAGCTGGAACAAAGGCATTTTTCCACCTTTCAACGGGATCAACGCCTTCCAGGATAGCCATTGCTGATACGAAACAGGTGAGCTGGACCGGGGCAAAGAAGACTTGATCGGCGGCGACACGGGCAGCAGTTGTGGACGCAGTGCTCTTGAGGACGACATGACGCTGGAGGATGCCAAACCAGGCAGTGGCAGCGGGACCGAAGACGGCTAAAAGGAAAAGATGCTGATCAGCAGTATACAAGAGGCCAGAGAAGTGAAAACACACCTCCACCGTATAGAGCCATTCGCCCAGTGCGGGCAAAGTCGTGCTTTTGGAGACCTTTCCGGTCTACAGCTTGCTGTGCTAGAACATCACCACTGCCGAATAGAAACTGTTGTAAAGAGGATCAGGAGCTGGACCCGGGGAAGGGGAAAAGAGAGATTTGTACGGCACTGGTGATGCTTGCGGTGAGGATGGGCCTCTTTGCCAAGTTGGATTGGTACCTGGTTGAAGAGTGTTTTGAGCTTCGATTCAAGGAGATGAGTAGCAAACAAGATTTACCAGCGTAACATAACTGCAATTTAATGGTTATGAAAGATGCAACAAGCAGAGAAGAATGCAAAGAGTGAACGAAAAGCAGAGGAGCAGAGGAGAGGTGCCGAAAAACAATTGAACTGGGGGGAAACTGGGGGGAACAATCTTGAAATTGCGGAGTCGAGATTGTCCTGTAGCGTTGCCCAAACAGGAAGTGCATCCGCCTGGAGCAGATTTTAGAATGACGTAGGGGGGGAAATGACAACATTACGAGGACTCAGCTTCGCATAGAAACCGATGATACTGTTTAATTCTGCTATATCTCAAGAATTTGAAATTACTACAACATCAATTTGTTCCCGTTTTCACAGCCTTAATGCTCCTCTGAACAGCGACGATCAGTCGATATACTTCTGGGCCCCGTCAGGTGACACCGCCCTGGAAACCTTAAGTGCACGTACCACCATCCCGATTGGGATATTAGGGCTTAGGGTCTTCACTAGGGCTGCCCGCTCGCTTAGCCCACCCGCGCAAATTTCGGGCAAACAGTGCTCAGCGCCGTGAACCTCGACGACCAACTCAATCCCGACAACCCTCCCCGTCGCTTTCCATAACAACATCAATATGGCTGACGCTGCTCCCCGTGGACGTGGTGGTTTCGGTTCGCGCGGCGACCGTGGTGGTGAGCGTGGACGTGGCCGTGGTGGCCGTCGCGGCCGTCGTGGCCCCAAGCAGGAGGAGAAGGAGTGGCAGCCCGTCACCAAGCTCGGCCGTCTCGTCAAGGCCGGCAAGATCACCTCCATGGAGCAGATCTACCTCCACTCTCTGCCCGTCAAGGAGTACCAGATTGTCGACTTCTTCCTGCCCAAGCTCAAGGATGAGGTTATGAAGGTACGAAACGGCACACTCATTTTGAAATTGGTGGATTCAGCGGGATTCGACCGGAATGCGACAATTCTACGCAATTGCGCAGTGGAAGCTCGAGCGGAACAACGAACACATCGAAACCAGACTATAAGACTAACGTCACTTTCAACCCACAGATCAAGCCCGTCCAGAAGCAGACCCGTGCCGGTCAGCGTACCCGTTTCAAGGCCATCGTCCTCATCGGTGACTCCGAGGGCCACATCGGTCTCGGAATCAAGACCTCCAAGGAAGTCGCCACCGCCATCCGTGCCGCTATCACCATCGCTAAGCTCGCCGTTCTCCCCGTCCGTCGCGGTTACTGGGGTACCAACCTTGGTGAGCCCCACTCTCTGCCCGTCAAGCAGAGTGGAAAGTGCGGTTCCGTCTCCGTCCGTGTAAGTTTCGTCTCGTGGCTTATCTCTGTTCTTGGTCCTTTTTTGGGGCTACTCATCTGCAGAGATGGTTTCTAATGGATGATAGCTCATTCCCGCCCCCCGCGGTACCGGCCTTGTCGCTTCCCCCGCTGTCAAGCGTCTGCTTCAGCTCGCCGGTGTCCAGGACGCTTACACCTCCTCTTCCGGCTCCACCAAGACCCTCGAGAACACCCTCAAGGCCACCTTCGTCGCTGTCGTCAACACCTACGGTTTCCTTACTCCCAACTTGTGGGCTGAGAACAAGCTCATCCGCAGCCCTCTGGAGGAGTTCGGTGATGTCCTTCGCCAGGGCAAGAAGTACTAGGTTACGGATGATGCATGATTTTTGTTCGACAATTCCAATGGGTTTCTTTTAAAACTTCTCCCTCTGTGTTTGGCGATTAAAAGATGGTTCGTGTGTGCGAGAGGCATCTCCGCACTACTCTGGATGTATTTATCACGGGGAGGGACACAAAATAGCGAAGTCCACGGGCCATTTGCCAGCCACACGGTTCTTTGCGCCGTAGTTTTATGCAGTAGGGTAGTAAGGGATTTCAAGTGGCAGGCATTCATTTTGCAACGTGCCAATCCATTGTACAAGCTCACTTTTTCGAAATGCACCCTACGACATGGAAATGACAGGTGTATGGATGGGTCACCCAAGCAGCTCAATGTGCAAACAAATTCTAGTCCAGTGTCTCCAGACTGTCATGTCTGGAATGGGCTATGGGATGCCACCATACGTATGTATCCCTGAAGCAACCTTGGGGAGAGACAGCTCATACCCCAGGTGTCTTAGAAGCCCAGCAGGGATGTTTGATGTACCCACATTGGGGCACACGAGCTGTCAAATTTAAGCAGGAATATATCTACAATAACGATCCAAGCAAAGCTTTCTCTCTTTGTTAAGCTCCTGTGGACGTTTGGAAAGACACTTGGAAAGATGACCAACAAGAAATCTAAAACATGGCATGAATGGGATTACAGTGATCTCTTTTATTTTTATATATACATCACGTGCATATACACTAAGCGGGTCGCCGGATTGGGTCTCCTTGTGCTTCAGCTCAATCAAGTCTCTTAGCCTCATTTCTAGATGTGGATTTTTGAGGGCAGCGTTCCCAAATGGACCCAAGTAAAGCAATCTCCCACAGCACAAGTCTTCCATTAAAGAGTTCGGATTACATATCCTAGACTTGTCACTCCGGGTCAGAATACATCATCAATGGTTCGGGCAAAGAACGCACTCTGTTGATGCAGGTTTGATCGCTGCATCGCGTATCTCATTTGTCGGGAAGAGTTCAAGAAAGGGCTCACCAAACAGACGAATTCTAGACGCCATCAATTATCAAGTCAATGGCTGATTAGTGCCAGACCTACCTTCCTTCAGCACTGTCCTTCATATTCCCTGTCAACGTTGTCGGTCTGAGTTGGACCTCCCTCCTGACCCAGTTAAGGCCCGCTCCTTCAATAGGCTCCTTCAGAGCCTGCTGCGATGGGAACCACCACGGCGGTGCCTCTAGTGCCTGCTAAAGCGGAATAACTTGTGTGACCAAACAGCTGGTTATTGCAGAATGCACCTCGGCCATATTTCCTAGCGCACCGGCTCATCGATCAGAAAACCAGCCGGCTTGAGCGCCTCAAAATAGCCCTTGATGAAATTGGAGTTGGTTTCAGGTTCACTCAGAATCCAATGCAAGGCAGCATTCGAAACGACCTTGTCAGACCTCCCGGTTATGCAGTCGGACTCTTGGTCAAGTAGTTGGCTATTGACTTCAGGCGACTCAATGTGTGGATAGGTCTTCTTTTAGGTGAGCCGTCGATTTCCACAATCCGTTTGACATAGGGACCCAGAGCCTATATGGAGGATTTCATCGATCTTGTTATCTAGGCCTGAAGATTATCATTTACAGACCTACCAGTAGGCTTGGGGTCTAGCTGGACAAGAAGCGTTTCAGTTGAAGTTACAACGAATGGGGCCACCTTTTCGCTGCAAAGGTTGTCTTACCAGATGTCTTTCTGCTCTTGCTGCTGTACTATGTTATCCGTCTTTTTTAGTCTGATCGAACACACCCAAGTTCTAGTAGGTTTAGAAGGTCATATCAGATGAAGTCTGTAGCCCCGACATCGGAGTCTTAGATCAACTGCCCAGGGGAGGTTCTGGGGGTGGACCTCCGTCGCGGGCCGTCACTAGCCAAAACCTAAACGGACAAGCAGATCGACGGGTCCTACCTCAAGGATTTGAAGTATTAGACCATTCCACCTTTGGAGGAACCAATGTCGGTTTGGCTATGTACGGTAGTCTTTGGGCAGCGACATCAGGCTAACTAGTACTGTTGCTAGTACTGTTTCTGGTACATAGAACGTTGTTTTTGGTTAGCATGTGCTAAAGAGATGAAGCGAAAGGCTTCTACATTCTACATAGCTCTGACGAATTGAAAGGCATATCTGACCATTCTACCGATATGATCGAAGAAATCAGTCCTTGTTCGTACAGTTGAACAATAGTCGATCATGATCCCCTTCGGTATTAAACTAGCTTACACTCTGACTTGATACAAAAAAAAGGTATTTGTCTTCATCACCGGCTTGGTGACAGTCATGAATAGCAAGCTCAAATCAGCTTTTCCTAACGATGCCGTCGATTCCATCGCGGCTGACTATAATTGGAAGAATGAGCAACTGCTCGTAATACCGTTAACTACCTTCTTGATCGGCTATATTCTCGGGCCTGTTATTTTTGGTCCATTATCAGAGACATACGGCAGGCGGCTGGTGATGATATGGACATTCTTGGGATATACAATCTTCACTCTCGCCTGTGCTATTGCGCTGAAGATTATGGCTATTGTTTATCCTCAGGCTATTTTTCAATATCTCTGCTTCTTCGTCACCTGTTGTCATAGGTGGATTGTATGCCGATGTATTTTCTGACCCGAAGACAAGGGGAAGAACGATGACTGGATTTGTGGCTATAGACCATCTTATGATCATCTTATGATTCTGGAGGTTGAAACACTTGAAAAGTTTGCTACACTAGGCCCTCAAATGAGACCGCTAATCTCTGGTCATGTCTTTAAGACTTTCGGCGCATATTTAGGGCGCTGATCAACTATCTCGCCAACGCGTATGGGTCCTATGCGAGTGCGTTGGCCGTTGCGAGCTGTACAAGAAGTGTATCCGGTGCGTTGCTGCCGCTTACTATGTCGCCGATGATTACGCGACTGGGAATACATTTATCATCTCGGGTGAAATGGTGTTTAAAGTCAGTATCAATCTATTAGATGCCAGTTTAACTTTTGTTATCCTATCTGGTGGCTACAAAGCTGACTAGAGAATGCGGTATTCACCCACTTGAATACTACCATGAGGATGTCCTAGTCTGCATCGTATCCGTACCCTTCTGCAAATCTATGGCAGAAGGCAGGGTGCTGTTTAGATTTTTTCCCATCGTGGTCGACGGATTGGGGCCAGTAGAGCTGGTCTACAAATTCTTCGTTCATCATATGTTCCATCCTAAGCGCGGAGATTCAAGAAAGCGAGCCTTGCCAGCTCATTCAGAATCAAGGCTCGTAGAGAGTCAGGATTATTTCGACGACACCAAAAGAAATACTAGAGCGAGCGCGCAGGATTGAACCGGAGCCTTCGATCAAAATCTCGGCGGATACTACTTGCGAGAATGGTACCTTCGCCGAGTACACGTTAACGCGACGAGAGCACGCCTGAAGAGAACTGGTGAGAAGTATCTTTTCCTCCTCCTCCTTCTCGTTCCCTCATTCATCTCTCACACACCTACCATCCTTTTAGCGATTGCTTTCATCCAGAATTTATTATTCTCTATCTTAAATCAACATGGAAAACCGCTATGAGCGTTCGATGCGTGAACAGTGGGAGACCAGCCTCATGGGAGCGCCGTTCTGGGACCGTGTGACAAGAGATGCCCAGGAGCTTGCTGCAAGTGAGGGACAAGGTATGTTTTTACATGTGCTGCATCTTGGTTCCATTGAATGCCTCAAGTGAAAGCGTGTGCCCGTTGATGTGCGCTTTGTGCTAATGATCTCATCTCCATTTAGCCCTAACTAGTGAACTGCCACAACAAGGCCCCACCCAGTCGCCTTCTAAGAAACCTGTTCAGACTGCAGTCACAAGTTCTCCCAAGAAGAGTTCAAAGAAGACTAGTCACTTCCAACTCTCTCAGCTTGCTTCTTTCAATAGTCTCCGGCTCCGAAACACCATTGACACCTCCCCCGCAGGGACCGATACTACAACCTCACCTGAGAAGAGTCCCGCAAAGAGTGAGAAGAGTTCAAAGAAGAATAGCCTACGTCTTCCAAGTCTATCTTCCTTCAAGAATCTGAGTCTCAAGCGCCGAGATCCCATCATCGCATCAACTGGGGGCATTGTTGAACTACTTCAGGAGACTCGTCCTTCAATCCTGTCTCCCTCTACTTTCCTCCGGCCTGAATCTCCTCTTCCTCCCATCCCCAAAGCCCCTCGTCCTGTTTTTCGGTCTCTCTACAGAGGAAACTCTGCAGCCGACTTGGACATTGCACTAACCAGGCCTCCTGGGGGCTCTCAACCCCTCCCCATAATTTCTCCTAGCCGACCCAGCATTGTCAGTTTTCAAGAGTGGCTTGAGAGAGAAAGTGATCCTCGCCCTGAAACTGAAAAGGTGACCGCTCCTCACCTAGCTTACCGTTCCCGCATTAGCTTGATGGCTCACCTCAACGATGGTGATACCTGGGATACTATCTCTCGCACCCGTTCAGTCCTAGAACTGAACATGTTTTTTGATGCCCGCAAGGTGTCCTCCCGCAAGAGCCTTGTTGATCTCAATGATGACCAGAGTATTAATAAAACTACCATAACTGACGATGTCATCATGGTTGACAAGTCCACCATGACCGAGCCTGACCTCGACTCTTCCAACACCCCCCACACCACCATGGTCGACAAGGCCACCATGACAGACTTCGAAATCGAGAGCTCTGTCACAGAGAAGGCCACCACGGCCGAGATTGAGACTCTGGGTTCTGCCGCCGAAAGTTGGCCTGCTGACAAGGGCCCTGTCGAGATTGATCTCAGCACGGAGTGTGCTACCAAAGAGCTGACTACCGGTGACCACCTGATCACCGAGGCCGCCGACAACAACGGAGCCCACCACTCCGCCAAGAAGCAAGAGGGGGAGATCAGAATCTTCATTCTCACCCTGGAGCAGGTGCGGCCCTTGCTCGAGTTTCGCAGCCTGCGTGTGCTGAGGCTAGTTGGTATGATGAAATCATACCAGCCCATCATCTGGCAGGCGGTGTGGTTGAACCCCCAGCTCACCACCCTCGAGCTGGAGATGGCAGTCGGCTTGGACATCAACAAGCCCGAGGGTCCAAGTGGCTGGGAGCCTATCAAGAAGGGGTGGGTAATGAATGTGAAGTCGCGTGCCGCCCCCGTTTACTAGTCAGTTTTACCGAACTCAGAGTTATGTGAAAGCGAGAGATGTGACATTTGCTAACCTGACTGAACTGTAGTGGCCAAGGTGACGGTGAGATCTCGAGCAAAATCGGGTACGGTGAGTACCTTGACAAGTACTGCATCGAGAAGGGAAAGATGCTGGCCCTCTGCACCCGGTGCCCCGTTCCTCCCTACTTGCCGGTCAAGCACCTCACCTTGACCGGCTTCGCCGTGGATGGGGACTCGTTCGGGATGTGGTTCCGGAACCTCGAGGAGGTTCACTTCAAGAAGGACTGCATCGACTGCGGTTTCTGGTTGTCTCGCGCCCAGCGAGACGTTCGAGTTCGCCACTCGAACGAGTTCGGAGTGGCCCGGGGCGAGGATGGGCCCTCCGGGGCTTGCTCCACCGAGGAGCTCGGCGAGGAGGAACTTGCTGACCTCACCGCTGCGGTGAGAGGCCTGGGGGCCTCGAAGATGTGAACGGACGGTGTCTGTGTTCATCGATGGCGGCACACTCACCAGAGCCTTCCCCAGGGAGTTCTGGGGAGTGTGGCGCCCGGAAAATATTATTATCTGTTTGTGTACGAGTAGAAGAGAAAGAAAACGCCCCCCCCCCTCCCCCCAAAAGTTTTTTTTTAAAAAAAAACACCGATGATTGAGTCATTTTTGCTTCTTATGTAGAGTACGGAATAAATGGAATACGTGTAAAGTAGTAGAGCAAAATCGAAACATCAACATCATCATGCCCATATCTCACAACTCACACTAAAGCTGAAATGAAATTAAGAGAGAGGTGAAAGTGACCCGCAAGTGAGAGATCCGGTAGTCAACTTAAAAAAGAAGAGAAAACAAATTTGCCATCACCTCAAATCCAATCTGAATGTTAATGAATACTTACGCACCCTCTTCGTCAGAAATGCGAATAGCTCCCTCGTTGCCGACACCATGGGACCAGAATCCCTCCATGTAGAGAGCACTGCAGTTATTAGCATATCATTCCATCCAAATGTTCGGTTTGAAACTAACATTCCAGACGCGCTCTCATGAGCCAACAAAAGCCAGTATCCAAGAACGCCTTGCGTAAAAACATCCTGTATAGCGAAGAGGATGGTCTCAGTGTCAACGCTCACCCTCAGCGCAAGAGCACCCGCCGCAAGGGAACTACTCAACATTAGCATTCCTATTGGGTTGACTTAATGATGCACTTGTGTCGATGTATAACTCACATGGGGAATAGAGCTAGCATTGCAATAGCAGAACCAGAAATAGACCCGAAGAACCGTTTTGTCTGAGCATCCTTGCCCTTTGCCGCTCGCTGCGCGTGGAAGCCTATATGGTGAATCACGACCAAGTAGGAAATACACGTGAGGGTCAGCCAGACCCAGCGCTCGCGGCCGTGGCCTGCAAATATGCCGAATAGAGCAGTTACCAGCATCATCAGGTGGGCGACAATGGCGATGAGCAGGTTTGCGCCTGGCAGGCCGGATAGAAGAGCGAAGTTGATGAAGAGCAGGGGCGTCGTTAATGCCCAGTTTACATAGCGCAACCATAAGACCTGGCGGATGTAGTCTGTGTGAGTGTCTGGGACATGTTTATGGGACTCGTAAACTCTGGCGTGTTTGGTTGTTATGCCTTGGCCTGTTGAAAGGGCCAGGTAGACAATGAAGGAGATGGTGGTTATAATGGAGGTTAAAATATGGAAGATTCGTTTAGGCTGAGTAGATTTTAGATATCGATATTAGAGAAGATAGGGGCATAGAAAGAGAGTAGTACTCACAAGAGGAGCACGAGCAGCCAGAGCATAGAACACTAGCGAGGAGATGCCCATCAACACAGTGACAACCCTACAAATGTTAGAACCATTAAGCAACTAAACATTGAGAATATCTACGTACCATAAAGTCCTCTTGCCCACATCATGAAGTTCCTGGTAAACCTCCGATCCCGGAATGACAGTGGGAATGGGCGCCACTGAAGACGTGGTGGCCGGGGCCGTTAGAGTAGCAAACTGATCAAATGGCGGTTGAATCATGGTGAATTGGAGAATATGAGTAAAGGCTGAACATCCGTGAGAAGAAAAGCAAGACTATATGGGCATGACGATTGTTACATCAAAACAGGATTGAGGGGGATGATTGGGACAACCGTCATTGACTGAGTACTGTCGTCATAGCCAATTAAAACATTCAACGACATAGTACGGAGTACATTGGACTAAATAGACTAAATACAAAAAGATGTTATACATGGATGATTTCCTTTCAGCTTGGCTTATTTTAGGAATGTTTGGTGATGATCGGTTGCACTGCAGCTGCAGAATGGGCCATGTCCTATCAGGGGATGATCGATATAATACATGAGATGTAAGTAGACAGATTTGTCCCGTGCTCTAGGCGTTTGCCTTATGTATCACTGCATCACACCGGTCGCAGATTGCATTTTCAATCGCCACCGGCTCCGGAATGGCGTACCGCCAGCACCGTGGACACTTGGAGGCCTGTGGCGCGTACACATACACCTTGCCCGGTTGGCCACCTAGTTCAAATATCTCCTCATATTGCCATTCAGCATTGTTAATCTCGGCTGGAAGTGCTTCACTGGGGGATCCTAGGGTGATGGAAGACACAATGAAGAGATCAGGTAGCTCCGACAGATACTGCTGGAATAATTCAGAGTTGCTAGGGAGCACAAGGTGGACAAAGGATTGCAGGGAGGAGCCAAGTTGCTTTTTGCTACGGGCCTGCTCCTGCAAGGTCTTGATGGCGGAGTGGACCACGGTCAGCTCCTGGTAGGTGGTGTCCAGGGCTATATCCTGCCACTCCGGAGCTGGGGCGGAAACGATACGCCGCAGGGGGTGCTCAGATTGGGTGCGGATGGACTCGGGAGTATGTTCCCAAGTTTCTTCCACAAGCACAGGTGTGATGGGACCCAATGCCTCTTGAAGATGATTGTAAATGTAGAACAAGGTTGTTTGTGCGGCCCGGCGACTCGTGCTATCTTCACCGAGGGTGTAGAGTCGGTCCTTGATCGCCTCCATGTAGAAAGCAGAAAACTCGAGGTTGGCCCACCGGTTCATCGTGCTCACACCCTTGTAGAACTCGAAGTTGTCACATGCCTTCTGCGACGCGAGTACCATGTCCGAAAGGTGTTTGAGTGCAATTCGATCGACCAGCTGCAGCCGTCCGTATGGGACAATGTTTCCTGGATGGAAATCGGCAAGGGCACCCAGCAACAACTTGAAGGTGACACGAAACTTGTGGAGACTGGTGTTGACAGTCTGAAGTACCTGTTTTCCAATCACCACGTCGCGCGTGTAGTCGCTGCTCGCCGCCCACATGCGAAGCGCATCGGGACCAAGAGCGTCGTACACGGGTTCTTGGTTCTCCGGTTGCTTCTTTCCTTTGCTTTTGCGGGGTTTAAGAGGAGGCAGCAGAGTTCCATCCATGATGGTCTGCGGGTACATCACGTTGCCAATCGACTTGCTCATTTTCCGCCCATGTTCATCCAGGGTGAAACCGTGGGTGATGAGATTCTTGAATGGCGCACCAGGCGTCGTGGATTGACCCGAGCCGTGCTGGTGTGAGATGTATGTGAGAAGCCCAGACTGAAACCAACCACGGTGTTGATCGGTACCTTCGAGATACACGTCCGCTGGATGACTCCGACCTTCCATAGGAACATCGATTTCTGCCCAGCTAGTCCCACTGTCAAACCAAACGTCCATAGTATCCGTTCCACGTCGATACCCCGCTCCAGCCTCGTCCCGCAAGGACGGAGGAATCCATGCAGCATCGTCCGCACTGTCAGTCCACCAAGCATCGATTCCCCGCTCTTCAATTGTGGCCATGATGTGTGAAACACTATCTTTAGTCAAGACGGCCTCTCCAGTGGTCCTGTGATAGATTGCAGGAATTGGAACGCCCCACGCGCGTTGACGCGAGATACACCATTCACTCCGATTCTTCACAAAGTTCTCGAGTCGGTGCTTTCCAGTCTCGGGGACGAACCGGACATCTTCTAATGCTCGAAGAGCACTGGTGCGGATATCGGCCACATCGGCAAACCACTGCTCGGTTGCCCGAACAATGATCGGGAGCTTTGAGCGCCAGTCGTAAGGGTACTTGTGCTCGTACTTATGTTGGGCAAGCAACTGACCACATGATTCCACCCATTCCAACACTGCGGTGTTACCTTCTCCCAAGACAGGCTTTCCGGCTAAACGTGTAGGATCGAGAGGCATGGCTTTGTCTGTGAATTGGCCCTCATCGTTGACGGGAGCGAACACAGGAATGCCACGTGCAAGACATGCTTCGTAGTCGTCCATTCCATGACCAGGCGCGCAGTGAACCATGCCAGAGCCAGAATCAGCAGTCACAAAGTCCGCAGCGAAGATTGGCTGTGGCTGAGCTTCGGGTCCTTTGAAAAGAGGTCGATACGTAGTTTGCTCTGCTAGCTCGGATCCCAAAATAGACGGCACAATGACAGAGAGATCTTCTTTCAGCATACTCTGGAGGTACTCAAACCGCGCTTGAGCGATAAGAAGATGGCCATGTTTTTCCGACAAGACAATAGTGTATTCCAACGACTCGCTGACTGCAATGGCAGCATTGGCAGGCAGCGTCCAGGGAGTAGTGGTCCAAATCACAGCACTCACATCCTTTCCACGGAGAAGAGGATTCTCAGAGAGATGTGTGGGGATGTCGACAAGAGGGAACCTAACCAGGGCAGCGGTCGAAATATGATCATCCTTATATTCCAGCTCTGCTTCCGCAAGAGCGGTGCTCGTTGAAGGCGACCAGTAAACCGGCTTGAACTTTCGGTAGATGAGGCCTCGGTCCACCATACCCCGGAAGATACCCAACTGTCGCATCTCGAATTGTTTATCCATGGTCTTCCAGTGATTCTCCCAGTCGGCCATGACCGCGCAGCCACGGAACACTTTCATCTGCTCCTTCACGGTTTGTCTTGCCAGTTTCCGCGCGGAAGTACGAATTACAGCGGCGCTGACTGATCCGCTTGCGAGATCCTCGTTTCGCAGGCCTTGGAGCGCTTTGAGCTCGATCGGCAGTCCATGGCAGTCCCATCCCGGCACGTACCGCACCCTCTTCCCGCGACCCAATTGTATACGACAAATGATATCCTTCAAGATCTTGTTGAGCGCATGTCCGACATGGAGGTCACCGTTCGCATATGGTGGACCATCGTGCAAGACGAATGGTTGATCGGCGGGCCTTTCGCGGCGTTGCCAGGCGTAGAGATCATCGGTGCATCGTTTCAGGTATTTCGTCCGATCGACAGGCGATACACGTGGAGGGAATGAGGATTTAGGAAGTTTCAACGTCGAGGTCCATGAGCGGGGTATTGACCGCGCCAGTTCGGGCATTGTCCAGCATATCCCAGAGAATGCTAAATGGGAGGTTAAGAAGAGAAGAGTCTTGGCGTTTTCCAAGATATGGCTTCTGCCCAAAGGGGTTTAGACTCCGCCCTGGTCTATAACCCTGATCTCCTACATTCCTACACAGTCAGACCGTATGGTCGATTCGATTCTTTCGTCAAGAGGTTCACGGTAGTTTTCAAGTAATCAAGAGGGTCGTGAATTTCAGCCTCGTCCCTGCGGGAGTAAAAGTTTGCAAGTGCCTGTTCCCTGCAGTATCCGACAAGGTATGGTACGATCAATGAATATTCACAACTGCAACAAAAATGACTTGAACAGAAACTTCACTGAACATCCGACTACCCTCAAGATGTCCTTTAATAAGGGATCTACTAAAATAGTGGTATACTTATTCTCGAGAGTTTCAAGACCCTATTTTCGACCTTGTGTTGCAACACAGAATTCGACATCATCCTCAACTTCTTTGGGGTCATTATTTCTCCCGAATACTTCATGTCTCTGTTTCTCAATCTTCCATCTGAGCTTGGGATGCTCATTATTGGGCATGTGCTCGACGCCCCACTCAGCCCGCCTCGGGCTCCTTTTGAATCAGATGGAATCACACGATGACCTTAAATACCAGGCATAGGTTAACAGAGGTGGCAATGCTTGCTATAACCAGCAGAGCAAGCCCAGCTCTTCAAACAGTCTGTCTCTTCTCCTCAGGAATCACCAAACTTTGACCAGGACTCGAGTGATCCTCGGACGCAAGTCGACTACATTCTTTTTATCTCAGTGTCAAGGATGACTTGCAAATCTTTCCGACATGACTGTCAGTTCATTGTCCCACAACTTACTTATTGACTCTCCGTGTGAGTGTGAGTCTTTTTGGCCACATTATTGAGAAGTGCATTATCCGTAGCCAACTCGGCTATGGTGGCCGGCTAGGCTTCCGCTGGTTCTTCTACGCGGCACTAGAACGGTTTTTCCGCTAAGGTCCTCCAGGAGAAACTCCCCCCCCCCCCCCCCCCCCCAAAAATGGAAGAGGGGTCTTCAAACTATCCCCAAAAAATCGAAGGAATTCGAGGACCGGAGTGTCCTAATAGTTACACTTATTCACGACTTCCAGTCTGTGGAACTAGAACTTCC